CCACTTTGAATTTTCATCTGTTATAATTTAACTAGTATGATAATCATTTAGTTATTATAAAAAAAAAATAAAAAAACAAAATACTAACTTTTTTTAACAAAAAAAACAAAAATTTTTACAAAAAACAAAAAAAAAAATTTTTTTGTTAAAAATTATTATTTAATCTTAATATCGACATGTTCTAAATATATTAAAAAAGAAATAATTAGTATTTTGTTTTAAAAAACAAAAAAATAAAAGAAAAAAAATATTTTCATAGTCTGAAACACCAAGAGAACCAGCCAAAAAAAAGAAAAAAATATTAAAATAATGTTACTAACACAAGTAACAAAAAATAGTTACTAATAGGAAAAAGACATATTACAAATTATTTTTTTGTTAAATAGTTGAAGTTGTTATGTTTTAGACTACCACAGATTTTTTTTAATCATAGAAAAGAAAAATAAAAAAAAAACAAAAAAAATACTAACTTTTTTTAACAAAAAAACAAGACACGAAAAAAAGAGAGATAAAACAACAAAAAAAATAACAAAAATTTTTTTATAGATTATCAAATGTAAATAAAAATAATTAATAATTTTGATTGGTTAAGTTTTTTCAAAGAATTCGATTTGTTATATAATGATTTTTGAGTTTTTTACAATTTTTTTTTAAACTATTACATAAAATAACAACATATATTGATCAACAAAATATGTTGTATATTTTAAATTTACTTTATTAATTTATATGTTAATCAACAAAATATATTGTATATTTTAAATTTATTTTATATGTTAATCAACAAAATATATTATATATTTTAAATTTACTTTTTATCTTGATCGACAAATATGTTATATATTTTAAATTTATTTTATTAATTTATATATTGATCGACAAATATGTTATTATTTTAAATTTACTTTATCAATTTATATATTAATCAACAAATATATTTATTAATAATAATATAATAAATACAATAATAAAATAAAAATTAAATAAAAGAATCTTGGCAATAACCCTATGATAAAAGAGAAAATTTTGTTTAATTTTAGAAAACTAGTTTTAGAGCTTTGTTATAGAAAAGAGAATAGTTTAGAAAAGGAAATTTGCCAACTTAATGTAGTGAAAAATTCTTACGTTATGAAACCATCATTTGATGGTTTCTTAGGCTAGCTTGGTATAGCTCTCCGGTATAGACAATTGCCTTAACCAGTAAGGCAAACTGCACTTGGGCACCTATGAGGGAAGCCAAGTGATATCGGATCTGCAATTTAGATAGTTTAATTATATTTATACATATATATGCTTTGATCTAATAAAAGATACCGGTGAGGCTGCCAATAGTTTAAAAAAAAATAATAATAATAATAAAATAAAAATGGCACTGGCGAGACAACTAGTTATAATTTTTTTGTTTTTTACTACATATACTATAAATTTGTAAGCAGTTTAAAAATAAATAAATTATAGAAACCAATCAAATTTTATTTATTTTTTGTTTGTTTATAAATAAAGATCTAGATTTTGAGTATTATAAACTTCAAAATTTCAAATTTCTTTTAAAAATTTCTTTAAATTCACCTAAAATATCTTTTAAAAATGTGTTTTTTTATATATTCAATTATTATTATTTTTATCGCTTTTAGATTTTTGTTATCTGTTTATATTGAAGAATTTGATATCCATCATTTTTCTTTAAAGTTATATATACAACCCAATTTTTTTATACTTTTATGTTAGGATATTTAATATTTATTATATTTAATATCTGTCTTTGAATATATTTAATTAAAAACTATCTACAAAACTATATTTATTAAAGGTAAATATTTATTTACTAAGTATTTTGTTTAGTATTATATCTTGTTGAAAGTTACGCTGCAATATTTTCTGTGAATAACAGAATTGAATATTGTGTAGAACATGATATTCTATATATATGAATAGTAGTATTGCTAGCATTAGTACATAGTTAAAATTATAATAACAATTACTTATTATTTATTTTATTTTAGTTATTTAAAATTTAGATGCCTTTTTTAATTAAAAATATCAAGAAACTTTTTCAAGTCTCTTAAAGATAATAAATTCAATAATATTATTTTTAAAATAGTCTCTTCAAATACTTCTAGTTTTAAATATCTTAAGTTTTTTAAGCCAGAATATCATATGGAAATTGCTGATATATTAAAAGAAGGTCCAACTTTAAAAGATGTGATTACTCTTATTCTTCAAAATTCAGAATGAGAACAAGAAATTTTAACTAAATTTAAAGTTAAAGCTATTAGAAATAATGAAATTAGAGTATTTGATTTTGAAAATGAGACTGATACTGAATATGGTTAAATTATAACAGATGAAAATTCAAAGTGGTTTAATGTAAAAGAATTAATGTTTTTTATAGGTAGAAATTTTAAATATTATCATTCAATATAATTTTTTTTGTAAATAATGTTTCGTTATTTGTATTTACTTTTTTTTTTATTTGTATATAATATTTTTAATAAAATTATTATTTTTATTATATAAAATTTGCTTTTGTTTGTTTTGCAAACTTAATATTATTATTATTTATAAATTTTATTTTAGAGACTTTAATACTATGAATAGATGTGGTATGCTATTCAAAAGCAAATGAAGCAATAACCAAAATTTGTTTTAGAATAGCATTCTGAAAGCAAATGAGGTATAGCCGAAATGCGCTTGAAGATAGTATTACCACATTTATTCATTGCCTCAATAATAAGTATACTTAATAGTTTCTGTTACAGATATTATTATCTCTTTTAAAATTGTATGTTCTTCACTCAAAATATTTTATCTAAATTTACTTACAATCTCTTTACTAAACTTAATTATCTAGAAATTTTCATATTTCACAACTTAGTTCTACCTTATTCTATTCTTAATTACTACAGTGTAGCACTTAACTTTGCTTGACTTTACCTGTTTCTTAATGATAAATATCAAACTATAAACAGAGCTAAATTCATTCAAAACTTGAATATATGCTCTATTTGTCTTAATCTCTATTATTTTATTTCTATAATATAAAGCATTAGCCTCTATTCAAAATTTAAAATAATAAGTTTAATATTAATATCTACTTTAATATATTAAAAATATAATTTTTAAACAATTTTTGTATTCTATCTCTTAAACTATACAAAACCAACTTTGACACTTGATTTGAATCTTTTTTAAAGTCTACTAATGACAATTCTCTAAAATAGATGAAAAAAAGACTTATAATTTTCTTAAATATCAGATTGCTACTAAGTTTACAAATATCTGCAAAAGTTTTCTTTCTAAAACCTTTACTATTACTTCTATCTCTTAATACAAAGAGCATATTATTCTTAGTATCAAAGCAGTACTCTATTATATACATACATGTATTTATAATAAAAGCAACTTATGTCAAACTCTACCAAACAATATAGAACACAATTTTAAAATTTAGCAACCCTTTTCTTTACCAAATCTTTTGACAAATTTTTTTTAACTTTAATTACTAATATACTCTTTAAACTAAAATAAAATACTCTACCTTAGATTTCTCTATATTTAATGCAAATAATAAACATTCTGTTACTTTTAAAACCAAATATCTACTAATCTATTACACAAACTTGCTACAAATATTAAAAAATAATTAATTAAAGATAACAAAGTAGCAACTAAAAATAGATATTATTTTAATCAGATTTAAACCTTACTTTAAATAATATAAATGATTAATAAAAATTAAATATATAAATCATATATTTGATCAATTAAGTATGTGATTCATATAATTAATTTTTATTAATCAATCATAGAGTTCTACGGTAACAAGATACTATAAACTAATACTTTTAAATAAATATTAATATTAATTGATAATTTGCCTATCAATTGGAAAATAGGTGAAATGTAGTATCTTCCATCTAAAATTTTTTTCTTACTAAATTAACAATACATATTCACTAATTAAAAGTTGTAGAGCTTATTGAAACACATCTAACAGTAGTTAGATCATCCATATTAGCCTAGCTGATAGCAAGATACGTATCATTGAAAATGATTGACTAACTATATAAAAATCTGTGACAGAAATCATATATGAAAATTACTATAGCTGAATATGGCATGCTTCTATCTAAAACTTTTTTTCTTACTAAGTTAATGATACATACCTACTAATTGAAAGTTGTAGAGCATATCAAGATGCATCTAACGGTGGTTAGATTGGCTAACTATATAAAATCTCTATGTAAACAATATTTGTTTATATAAAGATTTTATATAGTCAGCCAATTATTTTTTGATGATATCTTGTTATCGGCTAGGCTGATATAGATGATCTAACTACTGTTAGATGCATTTTGACGAGCTGTACAACTTTTAATTAGTGGGCATATATCATAACTTAGTAAGAAAAAGTTTTAGATAGAAGCATGCCACATTTCGGCAATAGTAATTTTCATATGTGATTTCTGTCAAAGATTTTTATATAGTTAGCCAATCAATTTCAACAATATCTTGCTATTGGCTGGGCTAATATAGATAATCTAACTACTATTAGATGCATCTTGATGAGCTCTACAACTTTTAATTAGTAGACATGTATTGTTAACTTAGTAAGAAATAAATTTTTATATAGAAGATACTACATTTTACCTATTTTTCAGTTGATAGGCAGATTATCAATTAAATAATAATTATTTTTTTTAATTTTCAAGATAAAGCCATGCTTGTTAAATAATTATTAATATAAGAGTTTATTTATATATACTCTAAAGTATATATACTCACATAATATAATCTATATATATTGCTATAAAATTCAAAATCAGATATAATATTATATGATCAGAAAAATTTAAACCAAATGTTTATTTTAACAAAAATTGTTAATTTCACATGAAATTATATACTAAACCACCTTCTGTACATTAATAAAAAGGTTTCTTAAGCAATTTTACTATATAATTGCATAAATACTAATTCTAAAATAGTTTTTACCCAAACTCTAAACTAACTTAAACAATATTGATATTACTGTTTTTGTATATCATATGATCAAAATAAAGGGTACAAAAAATTTAATATACCTGTAGACAGTGTTGGGCTTGGACATTGGATATAGACATTGGACCATACTTGTCCAGTCTAGTCCAATTTATTGGACCAAAAAGAATTGAACAATGGATATTATATAATATATAAATCAATATATAATCATTATTGGATATATTAGACTGGACATATGTCCAAGTCCAATATCTAATTCAGTCCAATAGCATAAAAATAGTTGGATATATGTCCAGTGCCAACTCTG